CGGGTGCCACATTCAAGGTTACCGTAAGCTCAAGTTTGCCCAGTAACAGGAATAGCTTCTGAAGTTTTGCTCTTTATAAACTAGTTGCTTCACGTGCTAATTTCTTGCATCTTACATTCTTATAGCAATTGCTCATTATCGGCGTAATCACAATGTTGAAAATTTTGAAAACATCACAGCACTTCTGTTTTCATGTCAACGCATTGATTTCCTTGAAGGACTCTGACATGCAGCAAAGCTCACGTTTATGTTATCTGAGTCAATTGATAGTTTATTTGAACTCTTTATCATTCCTCCGCGCTTTTCAATACATCAGTGGCATGCTGCTCACGAGGATGTATTCGGATGTTAAGATTAGAAGCTTAAGGAATGTCTCTTCAGCTGCTGGATTTGTTCATTTTAGGATCAATGATGTTTCTGTTGCATTCGACCTGTTCTATCTGTGTTCTGTTTCCAGGAAAATTTAAGTTTCAAAATTACCGTTGATTGAGATTGCGATGATGAAGTGATCTTTTTGCAAGTGATCAAACATTAAATGGAAGCATACGATAAGGCAGTTCACCTGCATTATCCACGCAAAATGAATTCCCTTTCGTAAGCTCTTTTGAAATATTCCCGTAGTTCTCTGACAATCGTGAAAGTTCCATTGAGAATCCCACCATCTTTCATGCACATTGTTGACGACAGCAAACATTTTGGTGTGTTGTTCACAAATGATTCTGAACTGTTCCCTTCAACTCGTTATCGCTGTGCTATTTCCATGAAATTGTACTTCAGAAAACGTCTTCAGACGAAATGTATGAATGCATAGGAATTGCAATGCCATTGTTGCACGCAGACAATGAACTCGAACATAATTTTATTTGCTCGCATCTGTTTGAATCAGAATGCACTTTGAGTAAATTGAAATCTTGGGTGCGCAAAATCACATGCTTTCTTCTCATTGTTGACGACAGCAAACATTCTGGCGAACTGTTCAAAAAATTGTTCCGAATGTTCCCTTTATCTTGTAAGCACTGTACTACTTCATTGAAATTGCGCCNAACTAAAACAATTTACGTGATCGAATTATCCTCAGAAGCATTTAGCAATGAAAACGATGCGAACATTCGTCAATTAACTAATTGAGTTGCGCCTCTCCACATTAGCGTTCACCGTTGAATCCCTATCTTATCGCACTATTTCATCGATTATGTTGCTCCGTTAAGAAGCGTTGAACATTACTTTAAGCTGAAGGCTGCGTCTCCTATTGATGTCTCATATGCGTTGTGGTGCCCTTATGCTTCCATTTTTCGTCATTAAACTGTACTTTGCCTAGTTACTTGTTGCCCAAGTTTTCAAGACAACCTTTTGGGGAACGTGATTCGGTTAAGCACTGCAAGTTTCGACAGAGTTATTTCGCTATATCCATCTCTCTTCTACAGTAGTCATTCAATAGACAATAATTTGATAGTTGTTTTAAAGGGTTTCGTATGCTTCATAACCATTTACATCAATGAGTGACGCTGATCGAATATCAGAAACCTTACAAAAAATTGCTCGCGCTGTGTGTGTTTTCATATGTAAGGATCAAAAAGCTTTGACGATGGCATTCTAAAATTTTTATCTGTTCCTTCGAAATTCACTCAACAGAACCTTCCAATCGAGACGAAATGTGCTTTTTTTCGCGAAAATCCTAGGGGCTCCGAATTGTTGTTCTTGTTGCACAGAACCACTGGCAACCAACCTGTCACTTAGCAACTATGATATTCAATCAGATTGCATAGTGTTGAACTCATGTGTTTTCGTTCACTTAAATTTCACTTTGGCAGCCTCATAGTCAGGATTCCCTGGAATTCATCTCATAGGTTTCATTTGAGATCATCGAAAACAAAATTATGCCGCTGGATTGTGATAAGAAGTACTTTTTTCCGTAATGTATTATCTTGATGACTTGAGAAAATGCTTTGTACGACGTTAGTTGTCAAGCTACTTCCCTATCAGTTCATCTGTAATTCATGATTATCGTCAAATGATACTCTAATGTCTCTTCTCATCCTTTTCCATCATCGTTTGAATCGCTTCGAATGGAAATCCGATTTCATGAATGAATGTGTTTTGTGCACCATTTAATCAACTTTTTCATCAATATCCAGCCATATAATTTTCATTCGTCACTATTAGAGAGCAATTGCTTCGAATCCTGCCTTATCCACTGCTGATCTCTCAGCTAATGTCGTATTTTGTGCTCATTCATCAAATTTGCATAAGGTTTTGGTTTTTTCATTTACTTATTCCTGAGTGTTGCAAGAAGGAGGTGAAGAACATCCGTTAAGATGAAATTCTTCTGAAAACGTTAAGACCCATTCATTCACCTACTAATCGGCCTATTACACGTCATTTTTCCAACTTCTCAGACGTACTGACTTCTCACCGTTTGATGGATAACAGAGCAATCATAACATCTCATTATTAGCCATCACAGACACGCTGACACTTCAATGAACTGAATTAGGTTCAGGTCTTCCATTCACTAATATTTAGTTAGCGTTATTGCGATATTTTATAAAATGGGGCGTTCCTTGAGTCATCAGAATGCCGTGCTTATCGTCGAACGATGCCGTTTTAGCTGATGAGAATGCCGTTTTCAGCAGCTATTCATCCATTTATCCACATACGACTTTGCCTTTTGCGGCTATCTTCTAGCAGCACCTGTATACTGTGTGTTATCAAATTCTCTGATGCGTCATGCAAAGACCGTCATGTTGTGATGTTTTGCAGATTCATCATAGAAGATTCATAAAATCTCATTTGTTCGCAAATACAAGCCATATAATACATCATTGATTATAATCCAGTAATTCATTTGCTATATGAATCCAGTAACCTTATAATTCAGTATATCCATTAAATGTTGTATCTAGTAAACATTGAATGCACTAAATCTTACTTGCTGTTTTAATATTCGACGTTCATTATGTATGCTTTCCGAATGTACTTTCTCGATCTGAGACAAAATATAAAAAGAGGCGATAATTAAAGTGCTCGATAGCAAATGCATTACAACTAGTTGTTATGCTTCTGTTGATTGTCGGGTGCAACGGCCCGGCATGAATAGCAGCGGCCCGCTGTATTTCAGGTGGAGTGCAATGACCCGGTATATTTCAGGATCGAAGTTATGATTATGGCAGTTTCTTGTGTATTATGCGCATACTAGCCGCTTTTTTCAGTATTCTTTTCCTTTTTATTAATCCGGCAATGTTTTTGAATGGTTAGTTGATTTATTCAATCACCTCAATTTTATCATTGTTTCCGTACTCCGAATTTCAAGCGAATCCAATTCTGAAAGTCTGCTAGCATGGAAATCGCAAATTATTGCGTTCTCTCGGCTGCTCACTTTGCGCCCTTCTCGCATACATCTGAGCCCTTGATTTTGATCTGAGCTAGTCGATTCAAGGGAAAACAAAATGTTTCAGTGTTAAGTGAATTGAAAACTCAATTACGTGAGTACGTGTCGGGCAATAACGAAATCGACTTTCTCAAATCAGTGTTGCCCACGATAACCACTGAAGTGATTCTCGAAACGTTCAGTGATGCGATCATTATTATTGGTCAGTTGGTGTACTTTGCACTTAAATTTCGCTCGTCACTCAAGTTACATTTCTTGAGAATGCGCTGCTTGAGCATAGCAGTGAAAATAGTCATGATCACTGTACTGCAGTGGCTTATTTTGGTTAGATCTGGTTTTATCTGTGATCTCGACAATGGCACTAAGAAACAGTTTGCCTATTAGGCGAAATATCCATTAAGAAACCGTAAGTTAGGCAAACTGTCCGTTAGGTAATGTGTCTTTAGGCAAACTGTCGTTAGGCAAAATGTCTTTAGGCAGATTCACCGGGTGCCGTACAGAGCACTTCAATGAGAGTGTAAAACACGAATATCACTGTTTTGATGTTGATACATCAGTTCTATTACAGCGTTCTAATTATTTACAGTGAGCACAGTTGGAATCGTTCATTTGCTATTGACAATTCTAGCTTTGTATGGTATTTATGCGTGTCGCCCAAATTATGTGCGTCCAATGGTCGCAGATGCTGCCACAAGTCTCCTTTCATTGCTATCATTTGTTCTTCACAGTTTGTATTCATGTTGGAAAGTCAATCGACTTCCACCAACAGCTCCACGACCATCATCGGATCGATATTTGAGGTTTTCAGTTCATTTCGACAGTGATTTTGAACTAATCCGGACTGATGTTATAGCTCGCTCTGTATCGCTTTCATGTCGTCGAGACATTTTTAAAACTTGTATAGATATGGGTTTCTGTAAATGACTGCAAATAATATGTCTAAAGTTGTGATACCGAGTTTCTGTTAATGCCTAAACTTTATTCTGGTTTGCTGACAGAGCAAGAAACTGTTGCTGTGGTTGCATAGAGTGGAAGTTATATTGATAAAATATGTGAAAGCAGTTTCGTTTCAGGAACGTTTACATTGGTGCAGCATTTCTGCTCACTTATTTCATATGGCTAGCAATAACGATTGCTGCTTATTTGGACGTAACGAAATTGCGTGCTGATTTTATGTATTGGATCGTGCAAGAGCGTGCATCAATGTATGTGCACAACAACACGGCTGAAAATCTAACTTCTAGCACTGATCGCAAATCTGAACGATTTTCGAAATCGCCTAATGGATCGAGAACATCGAGAGCGTCGAAAACATCAAGAGCCAGCCGCGTCTCTCAGTGCACTCCCGGAGACGTCGTCTGAAAATACGTTTACTATGTGTTTCGAATTTCAGTACCTAGAAGCAATGTATTGTATACATGTTGCTTATCTTAACGATAGTCCAATTCTGTGAATCTTGGAAATTGAGGAAATTTTTCCTCTTCTCCACTGATTAAATCGCAATTGTTAAAATTGACTGGATTTTTGGTTCATCACAACTTCAAATCACTGCAGGAAATCATCTTAACTTCAAACTGGTATGCTTCCTTCGGATGCCAAAATGATCGAATACCATATATTCCGACTTCGGATACTCTGGTAGAAGTTTGATGGATTTGTTGTACTTTCATGAGTCAATAAGTCTGAAGTGCACTAGATTACAGGATTATCGATGTTTTCATTTCGAAGGAAAACTGCTTCTTATCGCACTTCGGATCAACAACACAAATGAACGTCATCATCGACATATCCTCCTAATCTCTCAACAAAATCCTTTCCTATCTACCTGAGGGCTTTTTGCCTCCTCTCAAGACTTCAATGCAGTAAAAGCTTTAATTGGAAAGCCTGATATCGCATCAACTTCTATTCGGATTGGAATTGATCATGTTCTGAACTGATCGTGAGCACATTCAGTCAGAGTTCAGCCTTATGTAGCAGTTTATACGCGAAGTTGCAAATTATTGCACTAGTTTTTGCTTGATTCTGTGAATTAATTGTGTCATTTCTTATGTCTGCGAGTGTTTGTTTGCGTTTCTATTTCGATGTTATTTTCTCCATTTTTTATGACGGGTCTCTTGTTCTGTTGTATGCACAATGCTGAATTTATATTTACGTTTATCACGTAATTATTGCATGTTGTGGAAACTTCACTCATCAAAGACACGTTGAAACAACTCGATGTGTAAACTTTACTGCGAGTTTTCCAATTACACCTTATGAAATTGTTGTGTTTTCTGAACGTTTTTATTGATCAATTCGTTCAGTGAGTAAAGGTTTTTGCACTTTATCGTGTGTGATAGTGCAAATAAATTTGTTTTAAATCAACACATGCAAATAAAATAATTTCACCAATAATGCCTCGATTAGACAACATTCATAAGATCAATGATCCTCGAAACGTAACCTTCAAAAGCGAGAAATAGCGGATTCGAATTTCAACGAGGAGTTTTCCAGCAAAAACAGATGAAAAAATCAATCGCTTTCAAGGAGAATCGCAGGATGTTATCACCATGACGCATTAGGATGCAAGAAAATCGAACAAANACTGGAGTGAGTGCAAGTTTTGTAATATTCGATTGTAACGATATTAAATAGGTATTGAATTAGGATCGGAAGGGAACAGTGCACACCAGCAGTCTCCGAGAAGTATCGGTCAAGTTGTTGATGCTGTGGAATGGACAAATAGATAGTGCTCATAGCTGTAGCCAGTTGATTTGCTGGTGTGGTAAGCAAACAGGTGAGGAGGTTGGATGCAATCATATTGAGGAACGCTGAGAGAGTGAGATTTACAAACAGGATATACTCAATTACATAGATTTCGTTTAGAAAGAAATGGAGATTTGGGAAAATGTTGAAATGGAAGCTAATCCATGAGGAGTTAGTGATGAAGGAGAAATAAGAGAAAATGGCCAACAGATAGACGGGATAAGTAAGGTATGTGGAAAGGGATATGATAGGAGATACATAGAGGAATGAAACAACTGCGAACAATGATGATTTGGTCGACGTTCCAACGTCAATTAGTTGTGGTGATATTGGCAGAAATAATGCTGATAGGGGTTATATTGAGGTTGAAAATGACGACGATACAACTGCTTCAGTGAAACGCTTGTTGGGCTTTGGACTGACGAATGGTTGCTTACTCTTACTATTAGGTTTAAAGCTTAAAGCATCACTGCTGCTGCTGCTG